ATTATAATAAATATATGCCGCCTATGTAACCCACTGAAAACGTAGTTCTTAAACAGTGAAAGAATTTTTGAAATCGGTCCAGTAGTTTTTGAGTTATTCCAATACATACAAAAATACAAATCTTTTTAATATTGGTATTGCCATAAACCAGGCAAGGTATAAACGATATACATTTACTCTTGTGTTTTATGACAAAATCCTAACCTCACAAGTATTTGAAATTGAACCTAATTGCAATATAGTTTAGACTTATTGTCGTATGTCTATGTCCACATGGTCATACGTTTTAAAGTACAGTCTTTCTAACAATAATCTTTACTTCCAGGTGATGCAAACACAGGAGACCAGCAACTTGTCGTGTCAATAGAGCTGAATGGAGTCACGTACGAAGGAGTCCTCTTCCCCTCGCAGAGCAACGGCCAAGCAGCCCACAGGCAAATGGTCTCTTAAATAAAACCTTTTTACTGACTTCAGATCACACTGGCTAGATAGCCACGAAAAAAACAAACAAAATATTAAGCTAATAGCTGTGAAATATAACGGTTAACTGTTTAAATAACCATCTTGTAGTTAATCACGTTATAACGAATGCGAAAGTCTCTGTTAGTAGTTTTTATGTTTCACTTTTGATTTAAAACATGTTATTGGTTGGAATGAAAATTAGCGTCGCTAATCACATTCGCATTTATGGATATACTAAAAACTACTCAATACAATAGAGATTTAGGTCGCTTTCCCTAAGTCGTGATTACGTTTTTGTAAGTTTTCCGTTTCACTATTTTTTTATAACCAACAAATTATAAATCGATTATTGTTTACTGTTTTAAAATTAGATCTCAATTGAATTCTCCGATTGAATTATAATAAAATATGATTTAAAAAATTAAAACAGATTAAATTAGTTTATAACAAGGAATAAACTTTTTTTAGTTTGGTCGATTTTTTTTAATTGAAAAGAAATTTAATTGAATTTTTGTAACAATTTTTAATGTTCACTGCCTAGAAAAGGTTAATTTAATTTGCTTTTTAAATGAAAGTTTTGTAAAAAACATAATTTCAATACTTTTAAACTTTTGATTGGTCACGAAATGACAATGTAAATATAGTTTCATATTGAGCTATGTTACTTATTTGTAATTTTGATATTTTAGTTCGGATGCGTGTTAACTTGGTCGTGTGTTTTCAATTTTTTTTATTATTGTGATGTAAATTTTTGTAAATAGCCATTTCGTGTATATTAAAGTAGCTTGGTTCGTTAGTACACATGTATGCTTGTGATTATTAGGTACCTAATTCTTTTAGGAGGGTGTATATTTTCTATTGTGGACTCTGTCAGTATTTTATTAGTATTTAGTTATTTATAGTATAGCTTTTAACTTGTGTCTTAACTTGAAATGTTTGATAATTTTTTAAAAGAATATTGTGAAAATCAATTTTATAGTATCAAACTTAATTTTGTTTTTTTGTGTTGTCGTAAAATGTAATAAAACATCTCCATTGAATTCTCGAATAATTTAGAAATTCATTGAACATTGACTTGGTTTTTCTGACAGAAGATAAGAAAATTAGAAATGACAGCTAACCTAAAAAAACTGTTCATCACTTAATTGCAAGTATCTAAGTTTTGTAAAACGGATATTGCATTTGTATAAGAAAAATCTTTGTATTATGCAAGTTTGTCATTTGTGATTTACTTCTGTTCATACTTTTAATTCAACGCCATCTATGAACGTCAATGTTAATTAAGGAAATTTAACTACTTAAAAATATGGCCTCGGCCGGTGCACATAAATGTTAGGATGTTTCGATTTATGCCATTTCCTTAGTTTAGATTAAAGTAGAATATAAGTTTCAAAGTGATTGTATTAGAAAAAATATTAGGCGTGCAATTGAAAGTGAAAGCAATATTGAAAATGATAAAATGCTCGAATGTAGTGAGTCTTTTGTATCTAAAACAGTAGGGAATTGTTGAAGTATATTTAAAAACTTTTTATAATAACTTGCTATTAAGAATTAATGATAGAAAACTTAGTTACACGTTTGGGCTGTAGGAGATATTTTTGCTTAAAAGATCTGGAATAAAATAAATAAACCAGTTGGGTAATATTTCCCTCGTAGTGCAATATGCCCAGTTGATAATAAATCCAAAATTGAATCACAAAATTAGTATTCGTAGTACTTGTATAAATAAGAAAGTGCTTTGTAAATGACTGATTTAATATTTTATAGTTAGTTTATTTAACGTATTTAATTTTTAAACATTAACTTGTATAATTGAATTTACAATTTTTTTAGAGACACATTATTCGAGGTAAGCGTATAGCGGTAGGTTCGGTACATTCCGGATGTACGACATGCGAACGAGCAGTGGCCTAGTGCTGGCCTCCGCCACTAGGTGGCGTTAGCGGTTTTCGTGTTACACCAAAAATTTTTGATGTATTCAAATAATATACATGAATAAATAATTTTAATTATGAGTCTGTTTTTTATTTGAATTGCAAAATAAACTATTTGAAAACCCCACGTGGTTAGTTTATAAAAATCTGCAACTAGAAGAAAATAAGCATAAAAATGTGTAAATGTCGTCCCAGCGATACTCTGTTTTCATTATGGGTCATGTCTATGCCGACATTTGTATTAAAAACGTATTAGCTTTATTATTTAATGTTATAATTTATGTTTTAATTAGTAGTAGCAATTTCGAATACCGCTATCTAGTGTTAACCTTCTAATCTACTATGACTGAACTGACATTTGTATGTTGTGTCAATAGAGCTATAGATGGCGCTTATTACTGCTGATTTGCAGAATGTTATCGCTCATTTTATTTTTGGAAACAAAGTTTTTAATTAAAAACCTTATCTCCGGAACTAGGGGGCCGATTTTAACGGGACTTTGGCTGGAAGGAAGACAGTATAGAAGACTTTTTTTTTTAAATTCAGCGTTAAAGAAGTTTGCGGACAACAACTCATTTTAAATAAAAGAACATTATTGAATAGTTGGAGGAAAGAAATATTCGTTTGCCGGAAAATACTGTTTGATTTGACTATAGGGATATTGAAGTAAAGAAAACCTCTTAATTTATTCTGTATCTCGGATAAAATTGTGGGCGCTAACTTTTATGTGCCTTTATGCATAATTAATTAAAGTATGTTCTTATTAAGTATGAACATACAGTTTAATAAGAACAGCAATAAGTTTCGTGAAAGTCGAGCTTAAGCGGTGATTTAGTTTTCATTTATAACACAGTAAAGTTTAATTTCATTGTATTATTAGATTTTATGTGAAGTTTCTAGCAACACTTAAATTTATATTTATTACTTATTATATTTAGCCTAGAAATATAACGTCGAAAAAAAGACCTAATAAAATACTAAAATGTTAATGAAACATATAATAAAATATTAGGAAACGGAAGGAGTAGTGGGGGGTAGTATTATAAAATATATGTCTCGGCGCTCAGTCGCCAACAAGCTCAGTGTTTTACTAGTCGTCATAACGGTACGTTCGATATATTTGCGTTGTGTCATTGGAGTTCAGTTTGTGTTTTAAAATAATTTACAAGTATTGTTAATATGGCCGTCCGTCTACATTTTAAAGGAAGTCATTTGTGGAAATATCTAACATTACTGAAGGAAACATTTATATTATTAATGTTTATCTTATTTTAACAATAAAAATCTGTTGATTTATTAATCAAACATAGCATTAAAGGCGTTGCTAGACGGAAAAAGCTCTAACAGAATAAAGCCGTTAAATCTTTCGCCAGTGCGGTTAATGAAGGTAGGATATCTAATTACTGGTAACGAGCATTTTCATACACGAAGCTAGTGCTTTTGCATATTTTAATGACATTAATTAATCTTAAGATTCATTAGAATTTTTACATCAATTTCAATGTTGTTTTGTAAAATAATATTGCAAATAATACTTCATTATTCAAATGTTTTTTTCAGTTTGATTTGTAAAATAAATTCGTAGAACAGTTAACCCTCCAAATTTGGTCGATCCCCCAAATCGTAATTGTTGATCGTCTTATCTCTATCCACCCCTATATATTTAGGTCTTACATTAAAAAAGAATATAAAGGAACATTGATAAGTTGTATTGATACATTGATTACAGATATCAGCATACAACATCGTTACGTTAAAGCGATTTTATCTACCTACATTTGTGGTTGCCATGACAACGGCTCCCCTAATAACGGAAATTCAATACATCGGGTTAATACCGGCGAACCTTGGACTAATGAAGAATAATAATTATTTTGTAGAAAGATGATTTTTTTACATAAACCAGGTGTTAATTGTTAAATATGATAATTTGACAAATGTAAACAAAGAAAAATTATTTTATTGTTTACATTTGTCAAATTATCAATAACAAATGTCAAACTGACAAGACATGACCTTGGCAATCTTGTTTCCTTGATGTTGGCAGCAACTTATGGTATGTTTCCCACATTAGGGTTTTTATCTAAAATATTTACCCCCAAAGTTTAATGGCGTAAGAATATATAGCCTAAAGCGTGACGTAAGTGTAGAGCTTTTTATTAAAAAAGGAATTTTTCAAAAATATATTGTAATGGCTGACATCTTAGGCAACAAAGAAGTGTGTGTTTACGCTTTATTATAATAGTATAGATATGTCGATAGAAATCAAATAAAAAAAATATTTCCTTAATAAAATGACGGGTAACTAAGTAATAAAGATTTAAAAAGATTTTTCCCTTCAAACTAAATCTATTTAAACTTGGAAATTAATAAAAGAAAGTATTTAACACCCTTTAACTAACATATTCTAATACTGCAAACAATATAATACAAAAACTTTGATGATATGTGCTCTATTAGCGTGTACAAATAAACATCTCGATTGCCAACACCTGCTTATATTAACAACGCACATGCAAATAACAATTAACGCATAACGAATGAACTGTATTAAAAATCCTTTGGGGTATTAAACGTTTTTCGCTTGGGCGGTGGCGTAGTTAGGGCGGGCGGCGGGGACTTGTTCAGTACAGTTTCCTTCAGTCGCGATGCGTCCGTCGTAGAGGGCGTACATCTCGTTGCTCCGCAGCTCTTTGATTCGGTTAATGGTATCTCGAATTAAACGTTTTCGTAAACAGGTCAGAGAGGGTTGCAACGGCTTAGTGTTAATATTGTGCCTATTTGTTTTTTAAAATTCAGAGGAATTAAACTTTTTGAAAACTTAGTTGAGTGATTGTGTTTTGTTTTGAAAGAATTTACGCGTGACTTCGACGATTTCTTGAAGGTATGTTTTGAAGTTTTGATTTGCACTTTTTATGATACCGTACGTAATGTTTTCCATTTTTTTTGTTTATTAGATTTTTTAATTTACATTAAATTTAATCCATAAATATGTAGTTTGTAACGTTAAAAACACATAACACTGGTTACAAACATTTTAGAACTGGTGAAGAAAATTTTATACGTATACGTTTGATTTCATTTGTCACTATTAATTAACTTTGGTTAAAATTTAGTAATAAATTCCATTCGATAAATTAAATAAACAACTCATGTCATCATATTTTGTACATTTTACTATATTCAGAGTAATAACAAGAACGTAATGACGAATTTCGTTATCACATTTTGTCACATATCTTGTGAATGCAACGTATTCCAGAGCAATATCGTCAGAGTAAATATGACGATACTGTCAGGTGCTAATGACTATGTCGTGCTTCACTATTGACATATATAGGCTTCCTGTACACAGAAAGCCATCAAAACACCTACCTATCAATCTATACAATTAATGAAATTGGAGTATATATGACAACGAAATAGATGTTTAATATTTCGTAAATTCGTAGATGCACATATTTTCGGTATAAAATTTTTATTTTTCTCTATGCATAAGACATATTTCACCGGGTCATTCAAAACGACTGAACCGATTGTAAAATTGGATAGATAATGAATACTTATTGCCTTTATTATTCTAATTGGGAGTTATAATTGGACACAGATAGTGTAAGGGCGTGTTCCACTACATCCAATCTGTTTAAGTAATCAACATGCAAATCTGTGCACTCACAGGACCCGGTGAAAAGCCACGTCGCTTGCAAATGGACCACCAATCGATCGTATATGCTGTTGGTATCACCGGAAGCTTTTGCTTTAATGTTTATAAGAATTTTACCGTCTTAACCTTTTTAAAGTCTTACGTATGTTAATACTATTATTTTATATCTAACAAATTTAGAGATTGCTAAAATCTTTCTGAGAGTTTAAGTTTTAAGTCTGTTTTTAAGATTTAGATGGACAAAATATTAAACTTTAATCCTGTGCCACTAACTTTCTTACTAATAATAGTAATGTATAGTAAAATACTCATACAATTTAATTATAATGTTGTGCTATTCATGATTAACTTGGACTAATCCTTATCGAGAGAGTCGACACAGTATATGCTGCTCTTCCTTACATTTCTATCGGCCGTCATATCTGAATCCACACCCTTAACCTTATCCTCATTCACATAATCCTAATCAATACTTTCTTCGATCTTCCTCTACCTTTGTAATCATCCACATTCAATTTTAACGCATTCTCGTTTATGTCCCCATCCTCTCGTTTTAATGTTATACTATTAATAATCTGTATTCTTATTGGTTTTTATATAAAAGATTATTTCTTTTATTTATTTCCAACGCATATTAAAAGCAACAAGGCTGTAAGACTTTATTGATAAAAATGTGTTTATTTTATATGATATTAATTCCGTTACGAGTACCGACTCGTCTGAGAAAGGATGCGACATATCAAGTGGCTTGAGTGCACATTTGTCACTGAATAAAAAAAAGAATAATGTCACAGCGCGATCGTTTTCACAGATATGTCATCGAATATTCCATTGACCTTACATGAAATTGCAAATTCGTCTCTCAAAGGAGACAGTGCAGTTTCACACGAAGGCAAATCAGTAACACTCCAGTATATAAAGCTTCTAGACAGTGTAATATAAGTTTAGCAGTATCATGAGTAGAGTCGTTAAATGTATAAAAAGCCTAATTCCTAATCAGTTCCATTTCTTTTGAATTTTACGATTAACGATATCGCTAATCGTATGTGACTGTCTATGGGTAGTTCTGCGGTACGTGTCCGTTGAAATAATATTTCACTGTCTTACTGTGCCTCACTGTTCTACCCTCGTGTGAAAGTAGTGTAACACTTGCAATATGCTTATTGTCCGTATTATCGTTCTGAAAGTAAAACCGATCCGACCGTGAGAGAGTGCACACTGAATACAAATAAATACAGTGAAACGATTTTGCATTTTGCGAACCGCCGATGGAATTACTTCGCATTAAATTCTCAACACATTATTTAAAAAATATATTAATGTAACGATAAATACCGAGAAATCGTTTTACGTTTTAAATATCCGTTACTTTTGTTTATTGAATTCGGTTTTGTTTATGAAATTAAACAGTTTACGAGTTCGTTAAGTATTTTATTCATCGGAACTGCAGTAACATTTTCTCTATAAATATATAATGTACTTTAATCAGAAGTATGCAGTGTACAGACAAAATAGAAGATCACAATAGTTAAGGGAATTTAGATGAAGAATAAATAAAACTATTATTGTTTATTTCATTTAATTCCTAGATGTATAAATTGGCTCTTTTAAATTAAATAAATATACAATTTTAAACATCAAATACAACAAAATATGGCTACAAAGGAAGAGGAAGACCGAAGAAAGTATAGGTGGATTGTGTGAAAGAGGATATGCTTAAGAAAGGAGTGGAATCGGATATGACAGCTAATAGACATGTATGGAAGAGCAGCACATACTGTGCCGACCCTCCATAAGGGATAAGGGCAGGTGGATGATGATAAAATTTCAAAAACATATAGAGCCAATATGATTGACAATAAAAAAAATCGTGAAATTAATATAAATAATTCTGTTTATAACATTCCTTATTCAACGCTCTTATAAAGGAATTTTCAATAGAACTGCGAGACGTTCAAATGTTTTGTTAGTGTGCGATGTTTGCTATCAAATATAAGGCTCTGCTCTCTGGATATTGAACCAATGTGTAAACAATCCCAGACATTACACAAATTAGATAGGTATTATAGTTTAATATTGATACAATTATGGCCAGAATATTACTAAGCAGTTATTAAATGTACAGTCTAGTATAAAGAGTAGAAAATTATTTTAAACTAACTGTTGCTCGCGACTTTATCCGTGTGAAATTAAAAAAGTAATGAAACATAGCCCTATGTTACTCACAGATAAACCTTGTTAGCGGTAAAAGAATTTTTAAAATAGCCCCAGTAGTTTTTGAGTTATTTCAATACATTTAAACATACAAAAATACAAGTCTTTCCTCTTTACATTATTAAGTATAGATTATTAACTAATAAATTCAGTAATACAAGTTACTACCGCAAAAGCCTTATTTATTTGCTACGAACTACCTTCAGGTTCTAGTTGAAGGCTGTAAGCTGTGACTGCAGTGAATAGAGCATTGTGTGGTGTCGACGGCGGGCAGTGACATATGTCAGCTTTGCTGCGAAGTTGAGTTACAAAAGCCTCGCACTACGTTAAAGCATTACCCTCTACTATATGTATTTATGTACAGTTGTGGATGCTAGCGGTGTTCGAACTTAAGCTTCAATCGTTTGAACATTTTGAAAAGAGACGCGGAACAAAAATCACAACGCAGCTTATGAATTTGTGTAAGAAAATACACGGCTGGTGTCTCTTTATTATCACTTCGTTTGCACTATTGCTAAGTTTTTTTTAGGAAGAGGCAAAGTTTGTCTCGTTCCAGTGAACAGGACAATCTTACCAAATTGGTAAATGCGAAATTTTAGATGGATGGATGTTTGTTAGTTTGTAGCCTAAACAGCTGATGGGATCTCGATGAAATTTGAGGATAGTCTGGAAGAACACATAGGCTACACGCTTTAGTAATATTTAATTCCACGCGGACGCGGTCGCGGGTGAAAGCTAGTATGTCCTAAAGTGATTAAACATATGTGGTTCTAACCACATGTTTAGAACCTGAAGCTTGATATTTTAATTAGCAATAAATAACAAACTGTGTTTTGTTTTAATCCAATTTGTCTAGATAGTAAATATTGTTTCTGCGCGTCAAAGAGTTTTACATCTTGTATTGGTTAGTTCTCATTTGTATTTCACCTTTTTGTATCCAGTATAACCAACTTCAAACGAAAATAACTCGTGCCCGTTGCAAAACTAATATGCGAATGGGTACACGATGTTTCAAATAAAACAGGACAGACCACTCCTGTTAAAATAATGTTGACATGCACATACCATTTTGTAATACAACGTTCTAAATACACATTTTAATAATAGAAGGGCAAATTGAAGAGCACGTGAAAGAGAAATACATTGTGACGTATCTAGCAGTCAAGAGAATTTCAGACAAGAGAATATTAGATGTTGCTCAAAACAAAGTCAAACAAAATTATGATGACCTTTTAAACGAAGATGATTTAATTCTTTAATTCTAGATCTAGGAACACCACAAAAATGTTGCGTATTGTAAAAAAATAGATGTATATATTTAGTTAGCTATATTATTTACTTCGCCCGCGACTCCGTTCGCGTGGAGATAAAAAACAAAAGTGAGTAGCTAGTGTGTTCTTCCAGTCTACCCTCTACATTTGTGCCAAATTATATCGGGATCCGATCAGCTATATAGGCTACAAACACCTAACAAACTTCCATCCATCCATCTAAACTTTCGCATTCATAATATTAGTAAGATTATACGATGTTGAAAAAAGTATCTTTTGTTTCATGTTTTTAACTGTAGCATATAGCGCGTGCGGAGGGGAGGCGACGATGCGTGACGTTGATCACATTTGCCTGCGAAACGACAATCAATAGATAACATTATCAGCACATGCCAAGTCTGTCCTCGATCTGTGTTAAGTCATACAACACTGTGGTGTGCTTTACTCATTTATTATGCCGGAAATTATACAACGTGATTGCGTAAACGCATTGTAAATTAAAACGGTACAGATAGTAGAGTAAAATATCTTACTAATATTTGAATGCGAAAGTTTAGATGGATTGTTAAAGTTTGTAGCCTTTAGACTGAATAGATTTCGATGAAATTTGGCATGGATGTAGAGGAGAGTCTGGAAGAACACATAGGCTACTTACTTTTGTTGTTTTTTTTTTAATTTCACGTTTATGGAATCGCGGGTCAAAGCTAGTAATTAATGAGTTTTATATCTTATCTT